TGACTATATAGTCAATTAATATCTTAAAAAGTAGGCCAGAGCATACAATGGAGTAAAGATAGTCTCTTTAATAAATGGTGTTGGGATAATTGGACAGGTACAGGCAAAAATATGAAACTAGATCACCAAATTACACCATACGCAGGAATAAGCTCAAAATGGAAGAAAGACTTTAATGTAATTTGCACAACCATAAAAATCCTAGAAGAAAACATAAGCAGCAAAATCTCAGGCATCTCTCGTAGCAATATTTTTACCAATACATCTCCTAGGTCCAGAGAAACAAAGGAAAAAATAAACAAATAGGACTACATCAAACTAAAAAACATCACAGCAAAATAAACCACCAACAAAATGAAAAGGGAACCCACTGTGTGGAACGACATATTCGCCAATGATACATCTAATAAGGGGTTAACTTCCAAAATATACAAAGAACTCATACAACTCAACAACAGGAACACAAACAATCTAATTTAAAAATGGGCAAAGGATCTGAATAGACACTTCGCCAAAGAGGACATACAGATGGCCAAGAGACATGAAAAAATGATCAACGTCACTAATCATCAGAGAGATTAAAACTACAATGAGATATCACCTCACACCTGCCAGAATGGCTACCATCAACAAATCAACAAACAACAAATGCTGTTGAGGATGTGGAGAAAAGGGCACACCAGTGTACTTTTGGTGCGAATGCAGACTGTTGCAGCCACTGTGGAAAACAGTATGGAGGGTCCTCAAAAAATTAAAAATGAAACTGCCTTTTGACCCAGTGATCCCACTTCTAGGAATATATTCTAAGAAACCTGAAACACCAATCAGAAAGAATGTATGCACCCCTATGTTCATAGCAGCATTATTTCTAATAGCTAAGATCTGGAAAAAGCCAAAGTGCCCATCAGTAGATGAGTGGATAAAAAAGCTGTGGTACATATACATCACGGAATACGATGCAGCTGTAACAAGAAACTCTTACCCTTGGAGACAGCATGGATGGACATGAAGACCATTATGCTAAGTGAAATAAGCCAGTCAAAGAGACACAAATATTACATGATTTCACTTATATGTACAATCTAATGAACAGAGTAAACTGAGAACAAAATGTGTCCAGGGACATGGACACATGAAATAGACGGACAGATCTAAGAGGCAGGGGGGTGGTGGCAGGAAGAGATTAATCAAAGAACATATATGCATGCACATATAACCCATAGCCTGGGGCAGGGTAGGGTCTGGGTAGAGGGGAAATTGTAGGAAAATGGGGGACATCTGTAATGCTGTCAACAATAAAAATAAATTATATATATATATATATACACATATATATATATTCTCTGAATATTCCTCTGAATGTCCTCTGAAAATATTCTCAGAACAGAGGGTGTATTCACTGTCTATAAAAGTATTTTATATTTATTAATTATATCTGATGAATTTTGTTTTTCAAATATCTGAGTATAGAATACTTATATTTTTGGTCTACTTTATCTGTAATGGTTAAATTACATGGAAGTCTCCCATACAAACATTTCTTTAATTTTTCTTCTTGTGTTATAGTTTTTTCTTCACATATTTGGATGCCATTTTTTTGAAATAAAAAAAAATGCCATAACTACAATATCCTAAATATAGCTTATATCTTTTATTGTTATAAAATGAATTTCTTTGGACCAACATGATTGTATGGTTATTGTTCCTCTGTTTTGTTTTGCCTTTTCAAATAGGTACATGACATGATCAGATGCCTTATTTGGAGAATAGATTGATTGGGAGGAGGTAAGGCCAAATGATGAGAAGGCAGAAATCATGAGTGACTGAACTAAGACAAAGATTCCAGAGAGGTTTTTAGGGAACTGGATTGAAGGGGACTGGGGCAAGTGAGAAGAGTTGAAGGTATCACCTAGACTTCTGACTTGGTTGACCATTTACCTAAAAGGCAATATAGGAGGAAGAGCTGGGCTGGCTTTTCAGAATAGGCCATATTATATAGTTCCTTCTTTTTATATTCATCCCAAAGCACTCAAGCACAGACCTAAGCTCAGTGTTGAATCTTTGTAAGCTGATTGCTTACTCAAACTAAAGTCTTTCTACCTTATTCCAAAACACTAAGATAAATACTAAATTTCATGGAGAACACATTTATTTTATGTGTTAGGATCTCTTTCATAAATTTGAGGACTATCTTACACTAACAAAGAAATAATAACTGTCCTTCCTATACTATCCTCAGAGTAGTCGATAGGTAAAGGTTACATTTTCCACGAGAGGGCAGCATCACCTAATAAATTATGTCATTGAAAGCCTCCTTCATTAGGAGTTAAGAAGGGGAGGCTGAAAAGGTGGATAACAGAGGTTCAGGGAGCCACGGGAACTGCCACAGCAACAAAAACCAAAGGGTCCTACTATCTCCAAGGCCATAATTAAGTGACTGGTGGTGGTAGATGTTGCTACAGGGGAGAGAAAGAGGACATGGAGTGTTCCAAGAGAGGATGAGTGGGTGACACACCTGAACACTCTCATTATCATGACTGGCTCAGAAGCCACCCTGGCTGGTGTCTACATTCCTTCAATGTGCTGGTATTTCTGGTATCTCTGTATAACCAGTATCTCACAGGGACCTTTATTTCCTGTTCAGATCTTTGTCATCCCTAAATGGTTTCCCAGCAAATCATGTTCTCTGAAGGTTAGGTTGTAAAACACACTGCCGTTCTGATGCTCTCCTTATTTAATAATGTTTGGTTACCCCAATTATGCTTCTTTTATACCCTAGAAAAAGACTAAATTCATTGAGAATCCATTATTTAAAATGCATTTTACATAAATTGCCTCATTTAATCAACACAACAATGCCATTATATAATAACAATTATTTCCCATATGACAGAACTAAGAAGTAACATACGTAGGATTATCTGACTCCAAAAACTCTTCCAAATACACCAAGCTACCACTCCAAGAAGCCTTATTTAAAACCTAAATCATGACCAATTCAAGACTGCCAGTGACAATGTGTCTATTGTATAAGGCATTGCTTAACACCTTGCTGACTAGTCACGAGTATACACATTTCCATGTCCAAACGTTGCTGACAGGTCACAAGATAACTTGTGTCTGCACTTACATTAAGTAATTTTAAACACCTTGCTGACTGGTCACAACAGAGAAGTAGCCAGCAGCACGGGTGAGTTCTGGCTCAAAATAGCCTGGCAAGGTGTTAAGATGTCACTTCCTATCCAAGTACATGGGAAGGCATGGTTTTAATATTAGGTACCAGCAGGTAATATAATAAATGACTGGGATTTTATATTACTTCACCCTTACTAACTGAAAACCCTTTCACCCTAAGTGTTCTTCCTTTAATATATCATTTAGATGTAGAGCATGAGAACAATGGAAGAATGAAAGATGGCCTCTGTGTTTTTGGCTTGGTTGACTAAGGACATGCTTGTCTTAGTAACTGTGATAAGGAGCTTAGGAAGAGATGACATTTTAAGTTTTGAGCATTTTGTGCTTGAAATGTGTCTGAGACATCTTATAAATGTCCAATAGGAAGTTGGTTATATGAGTCTAGGGCACATATAGGTGATAACTGAAGCTCTGGAACTGGGTGAGATTTTTCATGGTATATTAATGAAGTCAGAAAGGATGGAACAAGAGGAAACACCAACATTTAAGGGATGGTCAAAGGAAGAGCAGCTAGGAACCTGGTTTTAAAAAACTGAACAGAGAGGTAGGAAAAGAACCAGTAAATGGGTATCATGAAAGCAAGAAAGGAGAGTTTCACAAAGATGGGCATCATCCATAGCAACAAGATCAAATGCCATGTATAAGTCATATGTGACGAAGACTGAAAATAATCCATTGACTTTGACAGTTAGGAGGTAATATGTAGCTTTTGACAGTGATTTCAGTGGAGTTCTGAGGGTCAAATTCAGACTGCAATGGATAGAAAGCAAAATGGTAGGTGAAGAAGTGGAGACAGTGCTTATAGAATCTTCTTTTGAAAGACTGAATATGAGCAAAAGAAGGAAGAGGTAGTAGCCAAAGGTGGAAGTAAAATTGTGGAAAGACACTTTAAAATTTTTTTCTAATAAAAATACTTAAGATCGAGAAGCCTAGGCATGTGCATAGAAAACAAACAAATAGACATGAAGAAGTATAAGTTCCAGTAGTACAGAGCAAAGATGCAGCAGCCATATGGAAAGCTCACCAGTGGGCAGATGCTTGGCAGCAGCAGAATGATTATATTCTAAAATTCCCTTGCCTTCCTTCTGTTTGTGCCACTCAACTTACCTAGAATGCCTTTTTCTTTTTGATAGCATATTTGTCAAATTCTACCCACCCTTTAGCTCAAATCCACCTCCTCTATGAAGTCTTACCCTATCAATCTCTTCTGAAGTTGATCTCTTTCTCTTGAACTCTAATAGCAATATCTGTTTGAACAATCCATTTGACAATTACCCTTTACAATATGAAATCTCTTTAATTGCTTTCTTCAAAAATGTATTGCTAATTTATTTGTCACATGTGTGTCTTTTCTCCCCTGCTAGACTGTACACTCCTCAAGGGCAGGGTTTCTAGCGAAGGATTTGCCACAGTCTCCAGAATGCCTACCATGGAAGGTAGGGTCTCTTTAAACTACATGGTTGAGCAGTGGGAGCCTGCTATGAAGAAGACAGAAAAATGCTGGGTTAGGAAGGTCCTTGGTGTGTATTGAGTCATTTCATACTCTCAATAGAAAATAAGAAGACTGAATCTTGCAGAGGTAAAATAAATTTATCCAAAGGACACAAGTAGTATGTGACCGTGTCAGGATTTGAACCAAAGGCCTTTCTAATACATTCTTCTTCAGTTGTCTGCAGAATTCTGTTGACGGGAAACACCTCTTTCCTTAGTGATATTGATAGAGATATGACTCTATTGAGGCTTTACTGCCAACCAAGTGATTTTGGCAGCCCCTGCACTTTGCAGGAAATCTCCCTGTGCCTTACCTCCTGACAATCAGCTTGAGGATCCGGAAGGAGCCTTTGATGAGGATGAGGGCCTCTTGGCGGGAGCCATACAATGGAGTTCCATTGATATTCACCAGCTCATCACCAGTCCTCATCTTCTGAGACAAGGCTGCCTTGCCCCCATCTTCAATCTGTGTTACAAAGAACAAAATAGAAAGCAGGTGGTGAGGCAAATCTCCGAAATTCTACTTCCTGGCTTCTCCCAACCTCTGAGCCACAAGTAGTACTGAGGCAAGGTGGGGCAGGGCAGGGCAGGGCAGGGGTGGTGGTGGTGGTGGTGATAGTGGTGAGGTGGGTGAGGGATGGCTCCAGGAAGCTCCAGGCAGCAGCTAGGAAGCTGATCACAGGCCATTATTTACCGAAGGCAAAGCTTGGGCAAGCCCCTGAGGAAAGAGGCAACACAGTAATAATATAACCTGTCCATCTGGGGAGACAAGCATTTCTAAATAAAAAAATGATGCTTGGAAGGAACCCCACAATATGTGCTAAAGTAGCAGAATGGCATAGCAAAATGTGCACATAAATTAGAGCCAGAAGAGCTAGACTCCAGCAAAATTATCTTTGGCAAGTCCTTTCCTATCTTTGGGCAGACTTTGAACTCTGACAAACTTGAGTTTGGATCTTGTGTCTAGTACTTTCTAGCTGTGTAACCCTGAGAAAGTTACCTAATATCTCTGTATCTCAAGGATCTCACATGTGAAATATAGATAACAAGAGTGCCTACCTCACAGGGTTGTTAGTATATGAAGTGTCTGGGAGCAGTAAGTCCTCAATAAGTGTGATTATTATAGCAAGGGGGTTGACTCTGAAGGTGGCTTCCAGCTCAATATTCTGTGAGTGGAATTGCAAATTCAAAAGATATAAAGTATGCGCAAAGTAATTGATCATTTATCCGTGTCTCTTCAACAAGTACCTAGCACAGTGCTTCCAGTGTCTGGCACATAGTGAGCATTTACCAAAAGCTGGGAACCTGGGTGTTCACTGTTCCAATACAGCCTTCAGAATTTCCATTGAGTAGGGCAACCTTGGCAAGAAGATAGTCAATTTCCATTGAGCAGAACAATCTTGGCAAGAAGGGTGGCATTGAAAGCAAAGTCACAAATAATAGCCACTGGGGTAGGCAAGAGAAAAACAGCAGAATGTCCCCCAAGGGTACTTGCTTACAGCTACTTTTATATGTAATATATTCCTTCAACCCCAAAGGTGATTTCTACCTATTGGAACATCAGTTCCATCCATGGTGGTAGGAGTGATCTCATCCATCGATTTAATTCCTTCTTCAAGTTTTTAGTGAATTTCTAGTATGCACAGGACAACATGCTGGAGATACAGAAAAGAGCAAAGCACGCACAACTCTCAGACTCAGGGGTGGGTTACCATCTAAAGTTCATATGTCCACACAAATGGTCAAGTAAAAAATGGTCCAACTCACTGATGGAATCAGGAAGAGGTGTTTGTTTGTTTGTTTGTTTGTTTGTTTGTTTGTTTGTTTTCCCAAGGGTAAAGGAGGTGAGGGTGATTAAACCACACAATCCTTAGAGAAAATTAGATTCTAAGTGGGGCAACAATGGACTGGTCTTCGCCACAGGTGTTTTTATACTTACTTCTATTCTTGCTCCAATCTTTCTCTCAGTCTTTAATAGCATCCCTCCAATCTCTCCCACACCATGGAAGTTAGAATACTGCTGAGCTTTAGGTTGGCCAGCTCATGTGCAATTTGGCAGATGCAACCTCCTTAGTGCAGAGAAAAATGTTAATTCAGGATTTCAAAAACCCCATCAAATAAATTGAAATTCTGAGTAAAATCACAGACTGTTATTAAATTTATGGCTGCTAACCCAACAGGTTTTTGTGGGGGTTTTTGTGGTTGTTTTTTTTTTTGTAAATTAACCTTTGTTTGATACATTATAGGTTAGCCAAGTGACTTTGAATATATATACCTTTGTTCCAGTACCTGGGCCACCACTCAAAACAAGCCAATATTGGTAAATGAGGAACAACTCTCAGCAAATTAATTAGGATTGCACTCATTTCCATTGTCATTATCATTATTACTTCACAGTCACTGCTGCCTGCTGCTTGCTGCCTGCTGCCTGCTGCCAAAAAAAAAAAAAAAAAAAAAAAAAAAA